GAGACCCATGCACCTCTGCCACGCACGGATGTAGCTGGGCCTTCCTGGGGCTGTGCTCAGGCCTGCAGCAGATGCTGCTGACTCCACCCGTGTGCCCTCGGCATGCTGTCCGCCCGCAGCTGTGGGACAGTTCCGGCACAGGCTGGCGGCTTCCCGCAATGTACCTCCGCGTCTTTCCTCTGGCTGACCCTGCAACGCATCTTGTCGCCGCCAGCCTGTCTGGCCCAGTGACAAGAGCTCGATGCCTCTGTGGGCCCATTGTACAGGGTTTCTCAGAGAGGCCCAAGGCTGAATCCAGGGCTCCCGGCAGGGCCACACTCACTGGCTTCTCTCCTCGTTTCTCTCTGCCGCTTCCTCAGGAAAGCTCTCAGGAATGCAGTCCTCAACGGGCCTCCTGCACCCAGGTCTGTCTTGGGGTCTGTTCCTAGGGTACACAAACCAAGACTAGAGCCCCAAATATAAAGCAGGGTTCTTGAGGGTGGAGTCTCTTTTCCTCCCAACTCCCGGCTCCAGAAGCTTACATAAGAAACGCAGTCTGGCAGATCTCACACACACACACACACACACCCACACACACACACGCCGCATTCTCCAGAGCCCTGGGCACGGCACCCAGCCATCCCCGCTGTCCGCAGCTGTCTGCTGCTGCTGTCTCAGGCAGCCTGCAAAGCTGTCAACTCGCCCACCATCCAGGTGCTGGGAAGCCCGTGCTGGAGCCCTCCCTTCCTGCCTGCCCCTAGCACTGTCACACAAGGCTGCCCGCATGGCCGGGCTCCTCCTTAACGGACACACTTGGTCAAATTCCTGCACCCAGGGGCTGGGGATTTAGCTCAGCGGCAAAGCGCTTGCCTGGCAAGCGCAAGGTCTTGAGTTCGGTTCCTGGTACTGGAGAAAAACCAAAAAAAAAAAAAACCAAAAAAAAACCACAAATTCCTGCACCCAAACAGCACAGCTCTTCAGCGTGAAACGCTTTTCCTCTTTTCTTTGGCTTCCATCACCGCCACCCTAACCACACATTGCTCAGCACAGCACAGGACCTCGAGCTCGACTTCCTAAAACCCTGGGCCTCCTGCGGGGATGCAGACCTGCCTCTCCAGCCTGGGTCTCGGGCTCACCCAGTGCAGCGATGCAGATTGGGTGGTGCGGTCAGACCCAGGCCAGCAAGCAGCTCGAAGCGAGGAAGAACTCTGCAGTGCTCTTTCTGCAGCCACCGTCCTCTAGCTGTGCGGCCCTCGCGTCCTGGGAGAGTTCAGTCATGTTAAATCAACAGACACCACGTGGCCTATGCGAGTTCTGTGAGGCGGCTTCCAGCGTGCATGAGAACAAGCAGGCTCTCAGCTGTGTGCACATCCAGCCGGTCACTCGCTGTCGCACCCTTGCTGCGGCTCTGCCACCACATGCCAGGAGCCGTCCCTGTTTTTACACTCATGCCCCGAATCCTTGCACATTTCCAAGCCATTGCCTAAGACAGCACAGCTGCACACCTGGCCCGCCCTTGGCCCCAGCACCACGGGCAGAACCGTGAGTAGATCAGGGGCCACTCGCCTAGCACCCTGGCTCCCCAACTCCAAGCTCGGCTTGTCAAACTCCCCCATAAGCTCACCACCGGCCGGTAGGTGGGGTTTCTGGTGGAAGCCAGGGTCACTTTGGGGTCACAGACTTACCCTCTGCTTCTGGGGGAAGCTGAGTCCTCAGGACCACAGAGACTCCAGGTTCCTTCAAATAACCAGAGTCTCAGCTTGCTCACTGCCCCAAGTGCAGCTGAAGGTTTCTGTGATCCCACAGCGAAGGACCAGGCCTGAGCCCACCCACTGCTGGTTTCCCGCCAGCTCTGCTGCTCCGGGCTCCAGGCACTGGCTGGAAAAGGGTCTTTGAGGAGGACTCAGCATGGACGTGACTGGCTGGGAGCTGACCTCTGCTCGACCCAACTGGCCCTGATGAATGCAGGTTTTATACATGCAAACACAGCCCAGCACAAATGTCCGCAGTGGTGACTCACTCCTCACGCACACTCTGGGGTCTTCTCTCTCCCCTCCTCCCACTCCGGCTTCCAGGGGAGCCCTAACTTCAAAACCAATTCCCTGCACCCCATCCTCGTCTCAGGCTCTCTCTGGCAGAGATCGAACCAAGACAAGGGGTTCTGAGGAGACTTTGCTGCTCACAGCAGCCACGGCTATGGCCTCCTTCTATCAAATCACTGCAGACAAAGACTGGGACGGAGGTCACACGGGCCTTCAAACATCCCAGGACGGAGAGTAGCGCTTGTAACGGGTACTCAGAAGGAAAAGCTCAAGACTCCAAGTAGAAGTGTCAAACCAGTGTCTTCTGATCGCAGCCGGCAGCCTCCCAGCCTCTGCTGAAGGTGGTTTCTCGTAACAATTCCATGGGATGAGTAATAACTTAGGAGGCTCCCACGTGGCCCTGGAAATTCACAATTTCTTACAACCCACGCGGACGTGTGTCTTTGAGACAGATACTTCCCAGGATGACATGGAAGATGCCACATCTTTCTCAAGACTGTCCTTTGGGGAAGCTCATCCTAATCCTTTGCACCAAAATCCGATGGAAATCCCCCATTCCAGATCAGCCAGCTATAAGCTGTCTCCTTACCACGGTTCCCTCTGGACTCTGCTCTGTGCTCCACGTCCCCCCCCTCCCGACGCAGGGACCCAGCCCCTGGCAGAGGAGCCTCTGAAAGTGCTGAGAGAGCAGAGGACAGAGGACAGGGGACAGTAGGAAGGCCACTGGTTCTTTCATCCCCTCTCAAGACGCATGAGACGAGACAAAGCAATCTGGAAACAAGGGAGAAACTTGCTTCCTTTTGTTATTGGACCAAAAAGCAGAGGCCATTTCTCCCGGGTGAATGCGCCCAGTGGGTCTACAGGCCAGAGCGTGACGAGTGCCTCAGCCGGGAGGGCAGCAGTTCCTGCTTGGTCCAAGCCCACTGCCAGCCTCCCTGGCCCCAGGGCCACAGCCTGTGCCTGCCTCCCTGGCCCCTGCTGCAGGGAAAGCTCCCCGTGCATAAGCATCTCGTGCCTTTTGCTCCTGTCGCACCCTGGTGGGCCTGGTGGACACCCGCCATCTTCCAGAGGATTCTACTGGACTCAGATGGACGGGGAGGCGGGGGGTTGCCTGGGGGAGTGACCTCAGAACAGTGAGGCCAGAAAGGGAAGTAGCAGGCTAAAGACATTATCTGCTTGGTGCTGCTTGGAGGAGTTTCCAGAAGCTTCTAGAACAGCCCCTTCAGGGAAGGCGAGACAGCTTTCATCCCGCCCTGGGTTCCTCTGGAGAGGTGACCCCCTCTTCAGGGCCAGGCCACACCTCCAGGGAAAGGAGGGAAGGGGGCTTTGCAAGCTATGGTGGGGACCTTCTTGGATGCCCCAACCAGCCCGCTGACCACCTCAGGAGAGGAGGGTGGAAGGCATCCAACCCATCTCCCCAGAAGCCACTAAGGATGTGCAGACACGCTCTGAAGGGCTCCTCCTCTATCTCGGGCCGTAGGTACAGTACAGGACAAATGCAGCCCCAGCCACCTTGCTCGAGGACAGCGGCCTGGCCCACAGAGGCTGAAAACCCCTACAGGGGCGGAGGAGCTCTGCCTCCTTTGACATTTCCTTTCCTGTAGCACACGCCTGCTCAGGGGTCCCCTTCTGGGGCTGCGGGCCTCTACACTGGACAATCAATGAGGAGCCCACCTTGCAGCCTCTAGGAGTCCCTGTCACCTACCTCCCACTCCCTGTCCCTCCTGACACCGTCTGCAGCACACCCACTTGTCACACGGGCCTCACCCAGGGTCCCAGCTCCTCCAGGCAGTCCACGCACACAAGGAAAAGCAACCCTGCGCAACCTGGTCTTTCACCGGTCAGCCCCAGCCAGCTCCTCCCCCTGCCCCTCTCTGGCAGCTTCCCCCACCCAGCATCCCTCCACCCTTGCCTCCCAGCCGGAACCTCAAGGTGGTCGGTGGTCACCGAGGCTGGACTCCTTGACTTACTTTCACTTCCGGTCTGCGCCTTCCTGTCGGTTCAGACGCTGTGGTCCTAGACGGAGACCCTGGATTCCCCACTTCTCCCAGATCCCCGTGACTCCCTCAGGCCTCCTCTCTGCCTGAGGCACCTTCTGGTGACCACGAGGCTCCTGAACCCAAAGCCCAGCCTTCTCCTGCCTGGCAGGGGCTGTCTGGAAGGATCCCCTCCCACGCCCGCGGCCCGGGAGCCTCCCGGTCACCAGCGGGCAGGTTTTCCTCACCCATGGTTCATCAGCAGCCCTGGGGCTGCACCAGAAGTGTTCAAATAAATAGGAATTAAACGGGGGCAGGGAGTGAGGTAGCCAGCTCCAGGGACAAGGTCCCACACAGGGCTCTCCAAGCCGGCCCAGGATTGCTTAGAAATGGAGGCTCAGGGCCACCTCTGCGGTGGGAGTCAGAACCCTGGGGGTGTCTGAGAACCTTCAGGCGATTCTGCTGTCGGGTGTGCGTTTCCAGCTGTGACCTGGCACCGAGTACCCTGGTCTCCCGCGGAACAGCACTTGCCCGCTGCTGGCTCTCCAGGCTGCAGCAAGGAGCAGGGACCCAACCAGGGGCCCGGGCCCTCCTCCTGCTGCCCACCGCTCCCCACCACAGGGTCCCTGCGGGAACTAGTCTCCAAATGGGCCACCTGGCCTGGGAGCTGGCGGGGGGCAGGGGCGGGTGGCAGGGACCCCAGGTCGCGGCGGGGGTCTCCGGGCGCAGGTGTGGACCAGGAGGGACCGGGCCTGCTGGGGACAGCGGATGCAAAGGGCCCAGCGCGGAGCCCAATCCACTTGGCTCAGGGCGTGGACGCCCGCTCTCCCGGCTCCGCTCCGAGGGAGGGTGCACCGCTTGCTCGGCGTCCTTTTCGCTCGCGGGAAAGGGGCGATGCCTCCGCCCCAGGCCGAGAGGGTTAGGATTAGGGTTCCGGCGAGTCCAGGCGGAACTTGGCGGGCTGGAGCGCGCGAGGCTTCGCCGCCAGGAAGGAGTGCGTGAGCGCGCGGGGCGGGCGCGCGGGGGACCCCTCTGGTAAGCCGCGCGCTGCGGCCGGGACGGCGTAACCGGGCCGGGGGGCGGGAAGCTCCGAAGGCTTTCCAGGGGCCGAGGGCGCCGCCCGTCCTTCCTCCCAGAGCCCTACAGGTGGAGCCCGGGGCGCCCGAGGGCGCGGAGGGGCTGACGCCGCGTCCCGGCCCCCCTCAGGCTCCCCCAGGACCGCACGGTCCCCAAGCGGAGCGACCGGGTCTCCCGGGCCCCCCGCCCCCAACCGTCGCCACGGCCGTGCGCACGTGCGGCGGGGCTGCGTCACGGCAGGGACGGCGACCCGGGCTACTTAAGGGGCGGCGCCGGGCGCCTGCGGGAGTCTCCGCGCTTCGCCCAGAGGTAGGTGCCGCGGACC